GTATTTCAGTAAATTTTCTTTGGTTTTGGTTTTTTTTTTTTCCATGCTCTGGGTACGTTATTTTAACTTCCTGCGTTGCCTATGATATTTTAAACAGCAAGTGGTGGCCCATATGGGAGATTAAAGAAAACCCTGTCAAGGTTAAAAAAAAAAAATATTCTGCATCTCAAATACGCCTCATCTGTTATTTTTGATTCTCATTTAACTGTTATTTCTTTTCTGGTAGCTAACCCCAAAAATGCATTACCCCAAAACTGTTAAAAAGCACCCCATTGCCGGGCGGTGGTGGCACACGCCTTTAATCCCAGCACTCGGGAGGCAGAGGCAGGTGGATCTCTGTGAGTTCGAGGACAGCCTGGTCAACAAGAGCTAGTTCCAGGACAGGAACCAAAAACTACGGAGAAACCCTGTCTCGAAAAACCAAAAAATAAATAAATAAATAAATAAATAAATAAAAATAAAAAAAAAATAAAAATAAAAGCACCCCATTGTCTTAAGCTCCAGTGTCTACCCTTTGGTTAATATTCACCTGAGAGGAGCTGATCTAGGATTTTATCTCTCTACCTTGCCTCAGCTCTGTAATCACCTTGCTTTCTGCTGTCTTCCTTGGGAGAAGAAAAGGGTTTCCATTGCTTCCTCTTTGTTGTCCCATCCCAAGCTCCCTCCCAGGCGGGTGAGGGCAAGACTGAAAGACACACAAGGTCCCATTCTTGGATCATGTGTCTCTGTGGACGACTGGACTGGCTGGTTTTGTGTGTCAGCTTGACACAGGCTAGAGTCATCAGAGAGGAAGGAGCCTCAGTTGAGAAACTGCCTCCATGAGACCCAGTTGTAAGGCATTTTCTCAAATAGTGATCAATAGGGGAGGATTCAGATCATGGTGGGTGGTGCCATCCCTGGGCCGGGGGTCCTGGGTTCTATCAGAAAGCAGGTTGAGAAAGCCGGTAAGCAGCGCCCCTCCGTGGCCTCTGCATTAGCTCCTGTCTCCAGGTTCCTGCCCTGCTTGAGTTCCTGTCCTGACTTCCATTGATGATGAATACCAGCAATATGGAAATGTAAGCCAAATAAACTCTTTCCTTTCCAACTTGCTTTTCGGTCATGTGTTTCGGCACAACAACGGAAACACTAACTCAGACACTGATGATCACGAGGGATTGCCTCTGGAAAGCAGCCATTTAACTCCCTCTGTCTCATGGCACTGGGACTCCGGCTCTCTCCCTTCACCACTATTCCAGGGGAGCCAGAGGAAGACCCTTCCTCAAACTGAGTAAGCATTCCTCAACATTTCAATAGAACTGAACCCAAACTGTTTATGACACAATGTGACAAACTTAAGGTTCCCTGTGTGATGGCAACTGTCAAATTGATAGGATACTAGCCTCCAGCCCTACCCTTTGAGAGAATTTTCAGCTTGGGTTAGCCTCCGAGCCATGCCTGTGGGAAATCATCATTATTAGGTACTTTGAGGTAGAAAGACAGACCCCAGAAGGGGGTGACACCATTCCTAGATACTGTAGCTGAGTATTGGCTTTCATCCAGTCTTCTTCCCCACTGCAGATGCTTCCCAACCAACTACCTCAACTCCTTTTGCCATAATTTCCCTGCCACGATGGACTCCACCCTGAAACTGTCAACCAAAACAAGCCGTTATTTTCTTTTAAATTTTTTTTGTTTTATGTGTTTGAGTGTTCTGCTCATATGTGAATCTGTTTACCCTGTGTGTGCCCAGTGCCCAAGGAGGTCAGAGGAGGGTGTTGGATCGTCTGGAACTGGAATTACAGATGGCCATGATTGGGTTTTACTTTTCAATTGCGGTAAGATTTATTGAGTTGTTTGTTTATTTTCGTTGGAGGAGATTTATACAGCCAAGGGGAGGTCCTGCGTTGGTTGTTAGGTACTGGAGTTAACCTTCTCTATGAATCAGTCATGTACACCTGACCTTACCAGTCTGTCTCAATCTTATCACTCAAGATAGGGTTTCTCTTTGTAGCCCTTGCTGTCCCAGAACTCATTCTGTAGCCCAAGCTAGACTCAAACTCAACAATCTGCCTGGGACTGAAGAGATGGCTCAGAGGTTAAGAGCACTGGCTGCTCTTCCAGAGGACCAAGTTCAATTCCCAGCAACTACACGGTATCCATAATGAGATCTGGTGCCCTTTTCTGACCTGCAGGCAGAACACTGTATACATAATAAATAAATAAATAAATCTTAAAAAAAAAAAAGATCTTCCTGCCTCTACCTCCCCAGTGCTGGGACACCACCACCTGGCTCAATGTAGTTTTCTTAAGATATGCTCTACAATAAGCAACATATACAATCCGTGACATGAGAGACAAAGGATTTATCAATTTTATCAAGATACATACTTGTATTTTCTGCTTTTTCTTAAGACTTATTTATTTATTATGTATACAGTGTTCTGCCTGCAGGTCAGAAAAGGGCACCAGATCTCATTATGGACACCGTGTAGTTGCTGGGAATTGAACTTGGTCCTCTGGAAGAGCAGTCAGTGCTCTTAACCTCTGAGCCATCTCTCCAGCCCATTTATCAGGCTTTTAATTACTTGTAAAAAAAAAAATCTTAACAACATGGGGATTTATTTTCAGTGTTTTATTATTTTTACTCGTCTGACCATGTGAGCACCAGACGTGCATGTCATACACAAACACTTATACACATAAATCTTTTTTAAAAAATAAAAACAAAAGGGGCTTGGGAGATGCCTCAGAGGTTAAGGACACTGCCTGTGCCTCCAGAGGACCTGGGTTCAATTCCCAGCACCCACATGCAGTTTGTAACCCCAGTTCCAGGGGATCTGATACCTTCACACCAATTCACATAAAATAAAGTTTTTAAAAAAAAAATTTAAAAAAAGAATAGAATATACATGAATTTAAAAATAAATAATAAAAATAAAAAAATAAGAACAAAGGCCAGACATGATGGATGGTACATGCCTTTAATCCCAGCACTTGGGAGGCAGAGGCAGACAGATCTCTGTGAGTTCAAGGCCAGCCTGTTCTACAAAGTGAGTTCCAGGACAGCCAAAGATACATAGAGAAACCATGTTCAATAAATATATAAAAACAAAGAAGACAAGGGACACCTGAAAGTCCCTAAGAGTAAGAGAACAGTTCCTAAAGAATCTTAGTTGATCTTAACAGGAAAAAAAAAAAAAAAACAAGGGCTGGAGAGATGGCTCAGAGGTTAAGAGCACTAGCTGCTCTTCCAGAGGTCCTGAGTTCAATTCCCAGCAACCACATGATGGCTCACAACCATCTATAATGAGATCTGGTGCCTCTTCTGGTGTATATATGTTAACAGAACATTGTATGCATAATAAATAAATCTTAAAAAAAAAAACACAGAGAAAAACAAAACTTCACTGGGGCTACCGACACAATCTTAAAACACCCAGCAGAAACGTATAACTGAAAATAAAATAATTGACAGCAATATTTTAAGATCAAGAAACCCCTCCCCCAACTATTATAAAGGACTCCCACCCCTTCTCAGCTGTGCAATCCTCTCTCTACAAACATGTCCACAGCCTCCTGGTAGTGTGTGCAATAGAGTCTGTCTTTTGGGGCTCTGGGTAAATTCTTTTTACCACCCATGTCACCAGTCTTCCTTAGGGCATTTCACACAGTGAGAATAATTGTCTCCACTTACACACGGATAAAAATGTCAGTCTCACTATTGGCTTTATAGACAACATTAAGTAATTGGGAGGGAGATTTTTCTGTTTCAATTGGCTCTTTTCTTTAGTGAACAGTGAGTCTCGACATTTTTACTTATTTCTCTTGGTGTGTGCTGCTGTCATTGGCCATATTTCTAATAACATATTGTTCCCTTGTCTTGTTGATTTACATGGTATATGTTACTGGGGTTTTCCCCTAGCTTTGTCATGAGTTGTCTTCATGTAATGGTGCTGGCCAAAGAGAGTGCTGAATTTTAATCTTTTTTGTTGTTGTTATCGTGGTTGCAAAAAATAAATTCTTCACTAAGATTATAAGAATATTAATTCAATTGTTCTGAATCTTTTATGGATTTGGGTTTTATATTCCAGATTTGATCTATTTGGAGAGTGTCTTAGCAAAGGAGTTCATAGAACGTATTTCTTTGTCATCCAAATAGTGAAACTGTCATAACATCATTTTCTGAATGATCATCATTCTTTCCCCCTAGTGTTCTAAAATGCCAGCGTGTCTTAAACAAGTATCTAAATCTACACCAAGAGAGTTTCCCTCTAGCTCTCAGCATCCTCCTTCCTGATGAGCTAGCCTTAAGATGCAGGTGGTAGCTGAGGACTAGAAGACCCCATTTAAGATCCGGGCAAGAACCAAGGATCTATGCAGGGAGCTGAGTCTTAATCTGAGTCTTTCAACCCCAGTCCTACCCACTCTATCAAATGGTCTAGGCCAGTAAGGCTGCTGCTAAGAATGCTTGCTGACAAGCCTGACGACCCAAGTTCGATCCCCGGTGCCTGGTGGAAGGAGTGAACCCACTCACACAAACTGTTCTCTGACCTCCACATGCACAGCAAGGCACCCCACACTAAACAAAACGTGATCAAATTTTTCAAAAACTAAACGCACGCATTTCCCCAAAAGGGAATCTGCAGATTTATAAAGGGAACAAGGTTATGGTCTCCCTTTACAACCATCTCTTCCTACCAAAGCTTTGTCAACTATTGTCTTGGCAGGATCTGGAACTTGTCCTAAACCCACAGCTGGTCCCACAGAACAGAGGCATTCTGTGAAGTTAAATGTTTTGTCCAGTCTAAAACATGTAGATTTGGGTTTAAAAAAAAAAAAAGGCACTGCAAGAGTAAACAGTCCTTACGGTTTTCCTTCATTCAACAGTAAATCTACTGAGTGGGGGGCCAGCAAAGAAGTCACGGCTCCAGAGGGAGACAAAACCCTTCAGAAAAGCTATTAGAAACGCATATAAATAAGCGCAATCGGTGGAGGCTTACGGCATTTTGGGGAGCTTTTTATTTTCTGAATGTTTAACAGCATCCACGCATCCTCCCAGGGCGGGAACGGCTCCGGGGAGCTGCTGCTGCTCCCAGAGGCAGCTCTGTGGAAGAGGGCTACTCTGCCATCTGCTTGGTAACTTTTAGTGTTCAAATCTCACCCTTTCGGCCACACTTCTTCAGTTAAGAAGAAACTGTTGGGAAAAAAAGAAAAAACTGTTGATGCCAACTCAGAGAATACTGTCGCCTCGCTTTCCCTCGACTCCGAAGGTCTCCCGGGCCCCGTGTAGGTGCCCTGGACTCCCCACAGGTCAGATTCCCGCCCTGGGTCACGCAACTAGTCCAAGTGGCACCCAAGTTCCGAAGCCTAGCGGTGGGGAGAAATCTTATTGTAAACGGACTAGCCGGTGTTCCCGATTCTTTGTCCGAAATACTTGCTTCCTGCTTCTGACTCCTACAGAGAACCCTGAGTCAGGCGTGATTTATGGAGCTCGGCAGCCCCAGACTCCAATCACCCCTCCTCCACAACAGAGCCCCGCCAGCCTCCCGCGTTTCTGCCGCAGCGGCGCGGCGGCGCTTCCCACAGTGCCGCGGGGCGCGCGCAGGCTCCTGGGAGTTGTGGTCCGGCGCTGCTCGTCGCTGCTGCGGCTGCTACGGGCTCGGCGCCGGCTTTGTCTGTCTGCGGGCGGGCGCGCGCCGCTGCGGTGAGTGAGGCCCAGGCCGGGTCTGTGCTCCCGGGAGAGGGGGCTGTGTCATGAGCCCGCCGCCCTGGCCGGGGCTCGTGAACAGGCCAGACCTGCCGGGCTGCAGTCGCCAGCCTCTGACAAGGGTGCGCTGGTCGGAGAGCGGGTGGGCCGCGGTCCGCTCCGGAAGGGCCCGCTGCGACGTCGGGGGGTCCCCGCGAGCGTGGGAGGGGCCACAGGAAGGTCCAGCTAGGCCAGGAGGGTGCAGAGTCCGTGCCTACGGAGATGCGAAGGGAGTGGCGTTCAGTGTGGGGGGAACTCGCCCTCACCCACAAAGCTCTTTCAGTTGCCTCGTTAAGATTTCCTCAGACCCCAAAAATCATCCTGTCTATCTGTCTGTCTATCTGTCCTCCAGCCCCTCTCTCCTGAGAATGCTCCATTTTAGGCCTTGAATGTGTCGGGTGTGTCTCAAATGTAGGAGATTTTCTGATCATCAGTTCTTCCAAAAGCTAATGAGATGGTGTTAACTTGTTTAGTAAGTGAAGAAAGTGGAGTCATTCTCTCAGGTTGCTTTGCTTCAGATCACACACCTAGGGAACCAAGGCAAGGATCCAAGTCTTGTCAGAGCCTACTTCTGAGCGGTGATGGCATTTCTAATAGGAAAAGCAGTGTTTCGTGTCGTGAAGCCACTTTCTTCCAATAGCTTCGAGAATTTGATTGTTCTGACCTGATATCACGGTTCTCTCTCCCTTCACAGTTTCCTGTTGTTGATCAGAGAGTCTGAAGACACGGTTGAGGGGATGTTTGATGGATAGCTCTTAGCAGGTGGAGAGGTGGAAGTGTACGTTCTGTTCACTTATTTTGACCTCACCATGTTTTCTAGACTCTCCAGTGGCAAAAGTCCAACCCCAGGGAGGTGGTGCCAAGTGCTTTTTTTTGTGAATGTGCACAGGGTTTTGTGGGTTCTATTTATATATATATATATATATATATATATATATATATTATTCAATACTATCTTGTATTTCTCAATGCATTTGCATTTGCTCCATTTCAGGGAATCCCTCTGTACTTTGCGCTCCAAGTTGGAAGTTAATCCTCTTGTCATCACAAAAATGTGGCTGAACGGGATAGTATGGCTGAATGGGGAGAAGGGTAGCTACTTGGTTAATAAAACAGAATTTAGTGTCAGATTGCTAATTTATTGAGCTAGGAGTCGGGCATTTTGATTGGACATACTGAAACAAAGATTATACTGTGTACCCCTGCATAAATAAAGTGTACAAATCCAGGAATTTGATCCTTAAATAAACATTCCAAAGGAGAAAAGTGATGGTTTGGATCTAGAGCCTGCTAAGAATTGCCAGAAGGCAACAAGAACTCTTTTGTTAGGTCCTTGTAACTTGAGGGGACTGGAAAGGAGCACCTCCTTCATACCGCTCAGGAAGGCTGAAGGTTGACTTCTTAGGCTTGAGGAATAGAATCAGCAACAGTTGCCTGGAAAGTGGAAGCCCCCAGTCGCATGTCAAGACCAAAGTACAAACAAAGAGACCCTTAACTGGGGACTCTGGGGAAGAAGTCCACGCCTGTCTGCCCCTCTGCTTCCCGCTGCCTCCTTGCTCCTAGATTCATCTCTGCAGTCAGCCCTGCCCCTTTTGCCCACTTTGCAGTGATATTACCTGATTTCCTGTGTTTACACCCCAAAGTGAACCTCCTGGTAATGTTATCTTTCTCAATTATCCATTCTGCTCTTTGTTGTTTGTTCTTTGGTTTGGTTTATTTTATTTTCTGTCCCCCAGGTACTCAAGACCAGCCCATGGAAGAATCATATGAAGAAGCGGTGGTTAACGTCATAGAGCAGGAGTGGACATGTTTGGGTTCCCAACAGCTACCCTGCTGGACTGTCATGGAAGATATGCCCAGAATGTAGCATTTTTCAGTGAGTGAGTCAGCTGGTTGCCGGGATACCTTCAGAGTCCCTGTTCTCAGGCCCGAGGAGCAGAATATGCTTTCATGTGGTGAAGCTTACTGTTCTGCAGGGTTGCAGGGAAAGCCTACAAGTTGGAATTGGAAATGATAGTCAAAACAAAGCAAGACAACAGTTTGATATGGAGGTAGTCTTGAGGGTGTCTCAGGCCGAATAAGTATCGTTAACTCTCAGCTCTGTCACTGAGTATGAAAAGAGTTAGAGAAACAGGAAGAAGCTTCTCTAGGATGACTCCCGGAAAATGAATACTCATTCAACTCTACGGTAGCTTAATAGACTGAAAGATAGCATGACTTTTAAAAGAAGACATTCCGATCATATTTGCATTATGAAAGAACTTACATAACTTCCTTAAGCTCCAGGCTTTTCATCTGTGTAATGGGACAGACAAGAGGCTGCATCCTGTAAGAATTCGAGACATAGATATAAACCATCTGAAATTTTGCTGCTTATTTTCTGAGATTATAAACTACTGTCAGGAGAGCAGGCTGGAATTGGGTGACTTTCATGCAGCCGGGGCAGTGTAAGCCTCGGGGCCTCTCTTGAATGGTCTCTCCTTTGCTTGATTTTATGCTTGTTTCTAAAGGGATGCTTTTGAGGTTTTCGAGCTTTAGGCCCTTCATATCCTGACTCTACACCTATTTGGGGGTCAGCTAAAACTCGGAAGGGAGGAAACAAAACTTAAGTAAAAGGCCCTGTGTGATTCTCTGTTTAATTTTCATATTCTATGAACCTATTTTTAGTTGCTTCTAAAGTAATCATCTCAGGGCTTGAAAGATGACTCAGTGGTTAAGAGCACTGGCTGCTCTTCCAGAGGACCTGGGTTCAATTCCCAGCACCCCCTCCAAAAAAATAACAATAGCTAGGCGGTGGTGGCACATGCCTTTAATCCCAGCACTTGGGAGGCAGAGGCAGGCGGATCTCTGTGAGTTCGAGGCCAGCCTGGTCTACAAGAGCTAGTTCCAGGACAGGTTCCAAAGCAACACAGAGAAACCCTGTCTTGAAAAAAACAAACAATGAAACAAACATAATAATAATCATGTCTATCTCCCAAGAATCTAGGAGGCTACATTAAATTTAAAGGCAGTATATAGCTATGAGCATACTAATATTTGAATCCCAGATAATACACCTATTAATAGTTATGTGACCTCCTATGCTCTCATCTGTAGCAATCTCAGGATGATTTTCAAGATTTAGTTATATGTGCAAAGCTGATAGTATATGCCTGGCACAGAGTAAGCACTCCGAGGGTCTTGTTTCTTTTTCCCTGTTCTCGCTCAGCATATTGGTGCATCTTACATGACTTCCCTCTTGTTTTACAGATGTGATGACAGAAGCCCACAAGTATGACTCAGAGGCCACAGGATCTTCAAGCTGGGATTTCCAGAGTTCGTTCAGAAGAGAGAAGGTGGAACAGAAGTCCCCAGATTCTAAGACACTACAGGAAGACTCACCTGGAGTGAGGCAGAAGGTCTATGATTGCCAGGAGTGTGGAAAATCTTTCCGGCAGAAAGGTAGTCTAACATTGCATGAGAGAATCCACACTGGCCAGAAGCCCTTTGAGTGCACCCAGTGTGGAAAAAGCTTCAGGGCCAAAGGCAATCTAGTTACACATCAGCGGATCCACACAGGAGAGAAGCCCTATCAGTGCAAAGAGTGTGGGAAAAGCTTTAGTCAGCGAGGCAGTCTAGCTGTGCATGAGAGACTCCACACTGGACAGAAACCCTATGAATGTGCCATTTGCCAGAGAAGCTTCCGGAATCAAAGTAACCTTGCTGTTCACCGAAGAGTTCACAGTGGCGAGAAGCCCTATAGATGTGACCAGTGTGGGAAGGCTTTCAGTCAGAAGGGAAGCCTGATTGTCCACATCAGAGTTCACACAGGTCTGAAGCCCTATGCGTGTTCCCACTGCAGGAAGAGCTTCCACACCAGGGGCAACTGCATTCTACATGGGAAAATCCACACAGGAGAGACACCCTATCTCTGTGGCCAGTGTGGGAAAAGTTTCACTCAGAGAGGGAGCCTGGCTGTGCACCAGCGAAGCTGCTCGCAGAGGCTCACCCTGTAACCACTCTTCAAAGGAATTCCTTAGGGATTAACAATGCAAAACCCTCTGTTGCCAAGAAGTTTATCTAATTCTATAGGGTAAGTGGAAATTCTTCCAGAAGGACCAGCATTTCATAGGGCAACTGACTTTTTCCCTTCCCCCAAATGAATATGAAAAATAAATGTCTTGTTTATCATTATTTTTCATAATTTCTTTATTTTGACCTAATTTCCTAAGGTACACTCATTAATCTCTCATGTCACACGTGACCTTGTTTTTAGTATTTATAGCAGATACAGATTTTAGATTTGTAGCATATACCATAAGCCTTTTAAAAAACTCAACTCCTGGGAGCTGTAGGGAAGGTCAGCCTTAAAGTCTAGACTCACAATGGAAAAAAAAAAAAAGAAATCAGCACTTCATCAATCTCAAGGTCCTTTTCTTCTGGATGTATTCAGTTTAATCTGTATTTGAAGACCACTGGGCAGAATCCAAAGGATAAATCTGCTTTACTAATCTTTTTATTGAACCTAAATAATGAATCAGCTTAGTAACCTAGTAGACCGCTAACTCTCTATAGCAGAGGCCCAAGCCTTGTAAAACAGGTTTCCCTTACAAGCTTGCAAAGGTTTGGAATATGCACTTTGATAATTTCTTCTGCCCTACACTTATAATTACAACTACCTAATTTTCTTTCTTTTTTTCTTTTGGTTTGGTTTTTTGGTTTTTCGAGACAGGTTTTCTCTGTGTAACTGCTCTGGCTGTCCTGGAACTCACTCTGTAGACCAGGCTGGTCTCAAACTCACAGAGATCCACCTGCCTCTGCCTCCCCAGTGCTGGGATTAAAGACATGCGCCACCACCGCCCGCCCAGCAACTATCTAATTTTCTAAGAATTCTATACTTGTATGTTACTTTCTGCCAAGGGAATTCCAAGTCCCTGAGAAACACAGTGTCCATCACCCTTTTTTAAGTAATTCCTTTGGAGACAGTGGCAAAGTGTTGAGGTTGGGACTACCTAGAAAGAAAGAACTTGATAGTCATTACAGCTGAGTTTACACTAGTCCAGGAGCAATACTGGGTTCCTCCTACACACTGGCAATTTGGAGACATCACTCCCTCTTCGTTCAGTTTTCACCTTCAAGGGATGAGATTTGAAGAAAATGAAGAAAAGAGAGGTTGGTTTTTTTTTTTTTTTTTGGCATGGATTTTTTTTAAAATATTTATTTATTTATTCATTCATTCATTATGTATACAATATTCTGTCTGTATGTATATCTGCAGGCCAGAAGAGGGCACCAGACCTCATTACAGATGGTTGTGAGCCACCATGTGGTTGCCGGGAATTGAACTCAGGACCTTTGGAAGAGCAGGCAATGCTCTTAACCACTGAGCCATCTCTCCAGCCCGAGAGGTTGGTTTTGTGGGGAAATTTTCCATTCTTAATCTGAAGCCACTATAATTCTTCATGCTGGGTGTTTTTGTTAATAACTGATAAACGGTGTATTGAAGTTTTCACAGTAAGGGTTACTATCGCTACAGTGGAACACCATGACCAAAAGCAAGCTGGGTGGAAAGGTTTTTTGTTTTGCTTTTTTTTTTTTTTTTTTTTTAAGATTTACTTATTATGTTCTATCTACATGTATCTTGCAGGCCAAAAGAGGGCGCCATATCTCGTTATAGGTGGTTATGAGCTGCCATGTGGTTGTTGGGAATTGAACTCAGGACCTCTGAAAGAGCAGCCAATGCTCTTAACCTCTAAGCCAGGTTTACTAATCATCAAAGGAAGTCAAAACAGAAACTCAAGCTGGGCAGCAACACGGAGGCAGGAGTTGATGCAGAGGTGATGGAGGGGTACTGCCTACTGGCTTATTCAGCCTGCTTTCTTATAAAACCCAGGACCACCAGCACAGGGATGGCACCACCCACAATTGGCTGGGGTTGAGCCTTCACCCATCAACCGCTAATTAAGAAAATGCCTTACAGGCCTGCCTACAACCATGTGTGTGTGTGTGTGTGTGTGTGTGTGTTTTACAACAGGGTTTCTCTGTATAACAGCTCTTGCTATATCCTTGACCTCACTCTGTAGAGGAGACTGACCTGGAACTCACAGAGATCCATCTGCCACTGCCCCCATAGTGCATGCTGGGATTAAAGACATGTGCCATCACCCCTGAGCTTACAACCGTACTGTAGACAGATGTTTCCCTGTCCCTACTGCCCAGTCCCAAATAAACTCACTGAGGCTTATATAAATTATAAATGCTAGGGCAATAGCTCAGGCTTATTACTAGTTAACTCTTACAACAAAACCCATATTTCCATTTATGCTTTGCCACATGGCTCATGGTTTATTACCCCATTTTTACACATCCTGCTTGCTCAGAGGCTGGCTGGTATCTCCCAAGTCTGCCCTTCTTCCCATCATTCTCAGTTTGGTTTTTTCTGCCTAACTTCCTGCCCAACTACCGGCCTGTCCGCTTTTTATTAACCAATGAGAGTAATAAATATTCGTAGTATAAAAAAGGATTGTTCCACAGCACCCTATCTTTTTTTTTAAGTTTTATTGAGACACAGCTATATCCTTTCATCTGTTTTAAATTTATTTATTTTATGTGCATTGGTGTTTTGCCATGGGTGTCAGGTTCCCTAGAACTAGAGATACAGAGCTGCCATGTGAATGCTGGGAATTGAACCTGAGTCCTCTGGAAAAGCAGCCAGTGCTCTTTAACTGCTGAGCCGTCTCTCCAGCCCCCTTACAGCCCTATCTTAACAGAGCCATTTTCTTAATCAGATGACTTTAGCTCGTGTCAACATGCAGCTATCCTGCACAGGTACTGTTCTGTTCTTTGTAGTAGACCTTAGAAGCTGTAGTATCCCTAATCCCAAAAGGCTCATGATAGCAAACCATCATCTCATCTACAGGGGTAAATTATGTCAAAGGTCTTTGGTCATTCAAACTTTATGGATTTGATTAGTGAGAAAAAGGAAAAAGAATACTCCCAGGAATACTTAGAAAACATTTGACAATGTATACAAGACAAAGGCGTAAGTCACAAACAATCCCACACCAGTTTGGAATTATGATTAATAGAATAGTTATTTATTTAAAGAGGAAAATTTACAGATCACCGTCCCAGACAACAGCCCTCTGCACAATCAGGAAGGGAGTCTAGTCGCTGGAAGCAGAGCCGGAAGCCAAGAGCGAGGGCAATTTCTGCTTTTTTAAAGAAAGAGAGACTACGCCCCAATGGGCTGGTATCTCAGCAGCTATTGGCTGAAGGAGTGGAAGGAGCTCCTGCAACACAAGACTATGACATTGCCATTTGTAACACCCATTTGTATTCGCACACTAAAAATTAAAAAAAAAAAAACTGGAATCCCAGCACTCAGGAGGCAAAGACAGGTGGATCTCTGTAAGTTCGAGCCCAGCCTAGTCCATAAATTGAGTTCCAGGGTAGCCAGAGCTGTTACACAGAGAAACCCTGTCTCAAAAAAAAAAGAAACTGGAATACTTATACAGTGGAATTAAACCCAGAAATAAAATACATCAACAAAGCATGAGCAATATTAATGATAAATCAGAAAACTGCCCATTGAAAGAATCTGAACACAGATATATAGTGTATGACTCCCCCAGTATTTATTCATAGAACACAAAGAAATGATAACTGACTTGAAAGATCAGGAGAGAACTTTATGAAACGGAGAAAAAGAATGTCATACCTTCAATTGGTATACACCTGAGTCCACCTGGTCAGTAACTGTAGTAATAAGAGCGGCGGGGCTGCGTTCCCAGCACCCTGGCTGCCTGCACGGCTAGCTTATGCCCCAAAATAACAACACACAAACTGTATTCATTTAAACACTGCTTGGCCCTTTAGCTCTAGCACTTACAGGCTAATTCTCACATCTCGATCAACCCATCTCTAATAATCTGTGAGAACCGGTCTTACCGGGAAGATTCTAGCCTAGTCCATCCTGGGTCGGAGCTTCATGGGGGGAAGATTCTAGCCTAGTCCATCCTGGGTCGGAGCTTCATGGCGTGTGTCTGCCCGGGAGCGGGGCATGGCGTCTCTCTCAGGCGTCTGCTCCCGAGAGGAGAGCTGTGGGGTCTGAGCTCACTTCCTCTTCCTCCCAGCGTTCTGTTCTGTTTACTCCTCCCACCTATCTTCTAACCAATAAAATGGGCCAAGGCAGATCCTTTATTAGCCAATGACCTTCCTCCATCAAGTAACATCTGTTGAATTCACAGCTACCATCTATGTATATAAGGCAGGCATATCCCAATAACAACCAGGCAGCTTTGTTTGTTTGGTTTGGTTTCTCAAGACAGGGTTTCTCTGTGTAACAGCCCTAACTGTGCTAGAACTCACTCTGTAGACAAGGCTGGCCTCGAAATCACTGAGATTCACCTTTGCCTACCAATTAAAGGTTAAACCAAGATTAAAGGTGTGTGCCACCTCACTTGGCCAATCAGGCAGTTTTAACATGATGCACACAAGTTCTTTGTCATTCATTCTTAAAAAGCCAATGTCTGTGTCACCTCCATCTACACAGGCTGATGACTGCATACGTTAATAGAAAACAAATGATGTCACATCACAGTGGTCGGCACCAAAAGCCCTTAGAAGTCTTCAAAGTTTGCCCATTTTCTTTGGAATACTTACTCTAGGGGAAATCAGCTACCATGTAAAAAAGAAGCCACTGCAATGTATAGGCTCCATGTGTGCTCCAATTGATAGGTTCAGCTCAACGGACAGCATCAACCCTCTTCATTTTGTTTGTCTTGTAATGATAAAATTCCCTGAGAAAAGCAAGTATGGGAAGAAAGTGCATTTTGGTTTACAGCTCCGTGTCAAGGAAGGTATGGCCAAAAGAGCATGGAGCCAGCTCAGCACAATGGATCAGCAGTCCAAAAGGGGAGACAGGATGGAGCTGGAGAACGTCAAAACCCACCACAGGTGATATACGTCCTCCACAAAGCTCCACCCCCTCATGGTTTCATAACCTTCCCAGACAATGCCACCAGCAGGAGACCACGTGTTCAAACACGGGAACACACACTTTGCGTTCAGACCACAACAGACCTCCAGCCACAGTAAAGAGGCACTGCCGATGTGCAGCCCATAGGTGCCAGCAGTCTACGCTGGCATCTGACGAACCTGACCCACAGTGTCAGACAAGCCCTGTTCTTCTC